TTCAAGTCCAGGTAATAAGGTGACCTCTTAATATGTTTGTAGCTTACGCTAGCTAATCGCTATTGCAAGAACTGCAATCCGATGTTAAATCATTGACATACCGGCACTCACGGCATGGCGAGCACTGGCACGTGGAAACGTGATTACCTGCGTTTGAATGCACTTGATTGGCGCCTGGCAGGTGCCGGCTGCCAACTGTCAGGTTTAGTGCAGGTTAGTCCGCATCACATTCTATAAAATTCATTGGCCTGTGTCCGTAAAGGTATAAATATGCTAGCCTAGAGCTGAGACTTGAGAGAGCTGGTTGGTAACAGGTCACAGGACAGATTTGCTGCTCCACATTTGATCGGTTTTTAACTACCAACTTGATACCAGCCTATTTGATACCAGCCTACAACCATTAAATAGATTAATAAATAAATAAATAAACAAATAAATACATATATAAGGCTTGGATAGCGAGCTTTGGTCGCGTTACATTTTGCTCCAAACGTACCGCAATCCTAGACACCAACATATTTTACGGTTGACATTTGTATGTGCCAGCAGTCGTGAGAACCGCTGCTGCATTACATGCGCCTCGCCCCAGCTTCCCTGACCCTACCTCAGCTCAGAGCAAACGAGGTCTTCTAGTACGGTCTGACGTCACCAGCACGGTCTGACGTCACCGTCCCCGTGACAACAGGCCGGTCAACTCTCAGCCAGCGTCCACCAGGCAGCCTCCGGCGACCCGCGCCCGTTGACCTGCCTGACCCCGATCCGCCCCCGACGGCAGTCCGCCGGAGCGCCGGCACCGCGTCCGTCGCCACCGGAGCGCCGGCACCGCGTCTGTCGCCACCGGAGTGCGGGGACTGTGTCTGTCGCCAGCGGAGTGCCAGGACCGCGTTCGTCGCTACCGGAGTGCCGGACCGCGTCTGTCGCTACTAGAGTCCTGGGACTGTGTCTGTCGCCACCGGAGTGCCGGCACCGCGTCCGTCGCTACTAGAGTACCGGGACCGCATCCGTCGCCCCTGGAGTGCCCGGCCGCATCGTGTCGACAATTTGCAGCGGGATAATGACAGATGGTGGGCGCTTGGTGACGGGTGGCGCCCTCCTGCTGTCGCCATCTATCTGCCGGCTGACGGATGAGGCAGCGCCGGCGGGCCACCGCCACGTTCTAATGGCCGCACCGCGCGCGCCACACGCCGAAGGCCCTGCGCACGTGACCTGCGGCTGACGGTCGGATACCAGGATGTGACTCGGCTGATGAAAAGACCTAAGGTCATGGCCTGGCTGATGAGAGGATAGCAGGTTGCCACCCGACTAATAGGCGGACTCCGGGTCGTAGATGCCGCAACATACGTTGACTAGCGGGGAGCAGCACGGCGCTGCCCGACTAATGGCTCATAGGGGGGTTTCTGGCCGTAAACCGACTAATGATAACACAGCCAGGGCCTGACAGTATTATGAGGCCGTGATCTCAGATGTTAACCGACTAATGATAACACAGCCAGGGCCTGACAGTATTATGAGGCCGTGATCTCAGATGTTGATGAGAAAATGCGATTTCTGAAACAAAAACTGCACCCATTTGGGAGAGGGGCGGGGGAGGTGGCAGAAATTATGTGGCCACTTAATGTGTGTTCGCCAAGTATCACACATTGCGTGCGACAGCGTCCAACGGGCCAGCATTTCATGCCGTGTTCGCAGATATATTTTTGGGTCATCCAATGATCGAAACAAGTTAATTCCGCCATGAGGTGTGCAATCCTACAATTACACACTTGTGCATCCCGTCTGATTTCAAGTAATTAAGAAACCCGCGGCAACGATACAGCTCTCACTAAATCAACCACCCAAGAAGCCAACACGGGCTGGTTGCGGGTACCAAGCAGCAGCAATCGAGAAATCACTTAATCATTCAAGCGCGTGCAAGCGGTATCAATCTTATAACGCGACATAAAATTATAAATCTTCAGCCAATGACCAACGCAACAAAGGTAGTTAGCCCTGAGCAGGGTGTGTACACTATCAATATCCTTGAGTGTTGTCTTAGCGGAGGCAAATCCTATGTAGCGTTTTTGGAGTTTATGCATATTTCACTTCAATCAAGGATGTATGTTCGGGCGTTGTTTTATCGATGCTATAACAACGAAGCAAGTGCCTTTTAGTCCCCGGCAGTTGCTGTTGGGGTTAAACTTTAAATTCAACGCGTTGGAGCCAAAGCTTCGTAGCCCGACCAAACTTGTCAGGACAATGTGTTTAAAGCACCGACAATAAGACAAATAATAACATAGTTTTATGAGAAGGTTACGTGCATATTACCGACCTACCATGATCCTAGTACCATGATATCGCTAAGAGCGGCGCCACATTTCGAGTTTGCCTTATTTGAACTATAGCACAATTGCGAACTTGGGCAGCTCCAACCGGCGCAGCCAAACCGCACGTCACATTTTCCAAAATAATTCCAGAGATCCCAGCCACTGGTCGCTGCTTCATGCAGTTTCAACAGCAGGTGCAATTGGCTAGAACTTGTGCTATTTGCATTGCGAGGCAATTTCATGTAAACTTTTTGTCACGCGCGATTTTGTGATAATTACATTCGTGCGATATTGCAAATTAAGCGGGATGTAGCTTTTCCCATTCGATTTCCACCCAAAACATAGCATTTGCCAACTGCGAAAAAACTACATAACGCCTTTCAAAAAAGAGTCTAGAGCCCATCCATAAAGATTCGCACCGACATGAATCAAAACATTTCAACGGAGGGCAATCAGACATGTTTTAAGCCTGTGGGTCGATGCGTGCAGCCTCTCACGCGCATCTCAGCATATCCATGAATCCAGCGTTTCAGAAATTTTTAACGAGCAATGCCAGGTGTAGGCAACCATGACAGACAAAGCTATGGGGGCAACTGCGTGACGTTTAAGCGAATGCATTATCTGCGAATCACTAAAAGATACATCACTGGCAAACCCGCGGGTGAGCCATTTGTCGACCGGAAAACGACTGCCGCCATGTTTTTTTTAAAACGGCCACACAAACATAGCATTTTGACCTAACACAATTTAGATTCGACCATACGCGTTACACGGACGCGTAGTCCTGTGGATAGTAACTAAGGTTCCCATAAATGCTCGCATTCTTTGCAATGCCCCGGCCACGGTCGTCAAAAGATAGCCCATTCCAAGCTCATCGTTATCGTCGGCGTAAAGTACCAGGCCGGCTAGGCCCACGGTCAGTCGATTTTCAGACGACATGTGTGAATTGGTACGTAAACGCTAAATAAGTTAACTGTTATTCTGGCCAGCTTGCATGGTTTGCACATGAAGAACAGACGTTCCGATGCATAAATAAAACTCATTCGTATTGTTCAAAAAGATATGTGGTTTCAGTGGCAGGGGTTCTGAATCATCTACACGATGATGGCCAGCCTTACTTCTGTTGTTACCTCGGCCGTCCCACATCGCAAAAATCGTATGTTGGTACACATAACTCAACACATTCAAACAGCATCAAAGCAAACACGAAATAATGCGAGAATTGGATGATTTAAGATCTGTTTTCCTAGAGTTAAAAACAACGAAATGACAGGACCGGGATTTTTCCCTGTCCTGGGGCGGTGATAGTCCCATTTTGAGATCTTTTCATGGTTTTTAAAATGATATTGACCTTATTTTGTGTTTCGGGGAAGTTTTTGACTGGATTTGATTGAGCTGTTTCGACTGCACTGGCAGCTTTTTATAATTAATATAACCTGCTAAGCGCAAACGATATATATATATATATATATATATATATATATATATATATATATATATATATATATATATATATTAAAGCGGTGGCTGAAAAGTCTGCTGATAAAACAAACTTAAGTTTGCTGTGTTGTTTTAGGATTAGATTGGAATACGACTTATTCGGCACCATTTCCGCTCCAGTGCAGTGGAATTGATTCAGTGCGCAAGTGACAGTCCATGACGACTATTCCGACTCAGACTCCGAATGGTATCGCACGATGTGCAGAAAGCCTTCATTCCGGCTCGAATAAATGAGTGATGTCAGTAATCGAGCTCACTCAATGGGTTTGTTTTACAACACTTGTGTGCCAATGATTGCACTCAAAAGAATACATGTCATTTCTTCTTATTTTATTTGAATCGGCTTACTGTGGATTTTTGCACCTACGATCCACTCGTCTTCGACTAAAAATTGAACGTATTTTGCTGTTCATTGCATACATTGACCGAGAGTTTTGTTGGTCCCGGACCATTCTCGTTATGCCGCAAGTCAGTCAAAAGTCTGAACCCATCTCGGAATTATATCCGCGATGATCTCATCCCTGAAAACCATTCATGAATTTATATTTACTCTCTGCGGTCCCGCCAGGGTCCTGATGGACCCTAACTGAAGGCCTCGGGACCCCGAACCGGACACGAGCCCTGTCTTCCAAGACTCGAACTCTGACTCCGTCTCATGCGTGGCGGCAAAGCTGAATTGGCTTCGACTCCCTTTTACAGGACCTTGGGACTTGCGATCAGAACACTGATTTATAAGATTTGAAGGTAGAAAACTTGAGGCGCGGGTGCGATATGGGGACAACGCGAACAGGACTCCACTCAGATTCTTTACACTTGAATGAATGTCTTGTTTGAATGAATGAACCCAATGAATGAACTCAGATTCTTGTTTTAGTATGCCCGGTACTCACGGTGTGAATCGTGCAGGTCAAGCTTGCAAGGGCTTTCGTCACTCGCCCGCTCGAGCGCGACAGCACCGCTCCGGACTAGCCACCTCCTCCTGGTCGTTCTGTCACGCGAAATAAACCATGCTCATTGCGGACGAACCCCGACATCTAGCTGCCAATCTGAGTACTAGTGTTTTCCCCACCTTTTTCTATACTAGGTTTTTCTCTCTTTCTTTCCTTTACTTTCTTGAAATATGGTAGTCAAAGGGACGACATCCATAACGCACTAGAGTCAAAATCAGGCACAGCTTAAACAGTACATATCGCTTTGCCTCAGCCGTGCAGAAGTCTCCATTACCCGGCTTCCAAGAGGTGCTCAGCCGGTTATTACGTATTTTCTGAGGTGCTGGTAGTTTTAGTGTGCTTGGAAATCAAGATAGGAGAAGTGATTGCCCCTTCTTCCCATTCGCTGATGGTTGTGTCATTCAGACAGGTCCTCCGGCCTCCAGTGCACTGTTCTAGTGAAATATTGCGCCTTCAGTGCAACTCTTGTTTTCCAGGAATTTTGTGGAGCGATTGGAGCCAGATACAACTATGGAGAAGATATCATTCTGTCTTGATTCTGATGATGGCTGGGTGCAAGAAGAGGTGAGTTTAGATATGAGTTAAGGTTTAATTTTTATGAACATTCATGTAAATCAAATATTTATGCATACATTGCTTCATGTCTGTGTTCTTTAGAGAAATAGATGTGTATACAATGGAATGAATGGTTGTTTAGCACCACACACATGGGGGAATGAATGCCACCCCAAAAACATCATGTCGGTGCCATAGGTCTCAACTTGAGAATGCATTACTGCTGAAAGGTTAATATTTTGAATTGCAATGTATCATGAACAGGGTGAATTCAAGCAACATGCTTTTCTACCTGCTTGTATGATCAGTTCTGACTAACAGTGGTATTGAAGGTGGACCCATGATATTGGTGTAGGAAGACAATTCCTTCTTTTATGCATGTGTTACTGCCTTTATTTGTGAGTACATTTTGTTTTCTCATTCTGATAACTTCATTATGACATTTATTGCACAAAAGCTGGCACCCTTTTTTCTGGATATTCTTTTCACTGTAATAAGATCTTATTTTGATAACTACATTTTGAATGTTTTCTGGATGCATAAGCATAGTGTCTTGTGACAGCAATGTTTTATTCTGCAGGGAATCCTGAAGCTATGTGAGATACTGAAGGAAGCTGGGCCAGATGTGTGTGAGGTAAATGCCAGGGAGTGCATGAAGCTTATTGAATAGTGTAAGGTTCTGTGAGAAAGCTGAACAGTGGCCTGAGGTCCTGAAGATAATTATCCTGAAAGCAGTTATGAATAAGCTTCAAAAACATACTAACACTTGTTCTACCTGTTTTGACGATATAATCTGAGTTATTTGCTGTACTTCACATTACTTATGTGTTTGGTTTTTGGCTATATGGTATTTGATATAAAGTAGGTGGGAATTGTATGGTTGAGGTAGTAGTGAAATCACACAGACTGTTGAGTCATACAGAGAGCACAGAGATCACACAGACTGGTTTTGCTGTCCCTACAATGATCCATGGCGACCAAGATATGTGCGAATATTTAAATGACTCATAAAGCATTGCTTTGTCAGCCCCCTCAGAATACATTTGCTTGCTGTGCCAGCCTTGTTTATTTTTGGGTATTGTTTATGTTATCATGTAGTGGCCAGTATCCAGCTGTATTATTACAGATCTGCAATATTGGAACAAGGGTAGGAATAGGGTTCTGTCCTTCTCATCTGTGGGGAATGTAATCTAGCAGTATCTCATCAGCATGCCATAATAAAGACAGGTCAAGAACTGTTTCTGCCTCTCAAACCATTTGAAAGTTCCTCTGCACATGGCTGGAGATGACACGGCCCCTCGTTTTGCAGACGGCCGCTCCATGTATGGTTGACCTGTGCCTCTCTGACTGCAGTCGGCAGAGTTTGGCCGGCTGACGGAGCAGCTGACGGCCCGGCGTCCGTCGGTGGCGCGCCGCGCCGCCGTCGCTCTCGTGCAGCTCGTGCGCCAGGCGGTGGTGCCGCTGCCGGCCGCGCTGCGCGCCACGCTGACATCGGTGGCCGTCGACAGGTGCGTGACACCAAGCACGGAAGGTATGCTGGCTGGTGCGGCGGGACAGGGTTGAGCTTTTGATCTGGTGTGGATATTTGATCTGCACCCCACCCTGCCCCCTCCCTTTGACAAGTTAAAGCTGTGCTGACTGGTATGAACAGTAACTGCTCCCTGGCATCTGGTCATGTATCCCAGCTCTGTTGACTGTGCAGTGTGGGCTGTAGCTGTTCTATGGCCTCTGGTCATGTGTTCCAGCTCTGCCGACTGTCTAGTGTGAACTGTAACCGTTCCCTGGCCTCTGCTCATGTGTTCCAGCTCTGGTGATTGTCTGGTATGGACTGTAACAGAGCTGGTGGAGCTGGCGCTGCTGGCTGCTGCCGGCGGCCAGAAAGCGGCCAGTCCGCTGACTGGCGCCTACCACCCTCACGTGAAGTTGCTGCGCGCGCTACCGCTCCGTTGGCCACAACTGGTGGTCGAGGTTGAGCGGCTGCTGCTGGCCGACACCAGTGTCACGTGAGCTTGCGGCGCGCGCCCACTGGCCCACCAGGTCCGGTGATGAGGCGCATTGGTTTTTAGGTGATACTCACACAGTGTCACAGTGTGCGCTACATGTTGAGGAGCAAACGTTTTTCGTAATGCTGCGGGGCTTATGACAACTATGTAAATTTAATGCAAGCTTTCATCGGCTTCGCAATGCCCACTGCACGTTGGCGTGAATGCCAGTCAATCTGTGGGGATCATCAGTGTCGGAGGAGTGTGCAGAAAGCTGTCGGCACCTATTAGACGTCGTGGCGTGTTTGGGACTGTGGCGTGACTGTGGGAGCTGTGCCATGTCAGCGGGCCCTGTGACGTGTCGGCCGGAGCCCTGCCTGGCCTTCGCGTGACGCGCCGATCTGGGCGGCAGGTACCGGGACCTGGCCGTGGAGTACGTCAGCCCGCTGCTCTGGGCCAGCTGCGGCCAGCACGCCCCGGCCGGACTGCGTCACGGCCTGGTGGCGGCTCTCTGCCGACTGGCACGACTCAGCAGGAGCTCCCGGCCCGTGCTGCGGGCCCTGGGCGTGCTCGCTCGACTCCGGGTCAGTGCCTGGCGCATGCTGGTCGCTCGCAGTGGAATGTGACGCCCGCCCGTTACGTTCCGCTCCGAATGTTTCGTCCAGCTCGGCCTCACCGTGTGACTGCGACGTTCTAACATGTAATGAGGGTATCGGTATGGGTCCAACATCGGTACGGGTCCATCAGTGCTGCAGCATCTATATGGATTCAAACGAACATGTGCATTCACGCCTCCCGGGTACTTTGCGATGCTACAGCATAGCTCAGCCTGCGTTCCCTGACGTCGCCGGGCAGTACACTGACTTGTCCGAGTCCAGCTTGCGTTGGCCGCGGCTGGGGCGCGGGATGCGTCGCCCGTTCCCCCGCGGACCTCTGACCTCGGCCGTGGGACGCAGGCGCCGGCCGACCAGCTGGCCTGGGAGTTGCCGGCCCTCTGCCGCCTGCTGGTCGACTTCGCGCTCGAGGTCGACGACCGCGCCCTGCTCCGGGCGTTGACCCCGCTCAGCGTGTGCTGCCTGAAGTGGCGGGTAAGGCTTCTGCCGACTGCGGTCGGCGCGGTGCTGGTGTGTGTGTGTGTGTGTGGCCGCGCTCCGCCCCGGAGGAGCTCAGTGGAGTCAAAGCGGCCGCAGCGCTCGATAGTTTGCACAGCCATTCAGATTAGTGCTCGATGAGGCTGATGTAAACCGGATAAAGTCGCCCGCTGTCAGGTCAATGCTGGTCTTGTCATTCTGCGCGGAAGCCGTTGTAAAATTCACCATCATCTGGGACGTTTTCCCTGCGTGGAGTCTGTAACGACCCTGGTGATTCTTCGCCTGATCGTGTTGCGGTTCTCCGCCTGATGTATCTATTCTTCTTGACGAGGCTAAGCGTCTCGGCGCTCGCTATTTTGCATTTGTTGAGCGTTGTAAGCTTCCAGCTCGGTGCTTTACCCGAACGGAGATTGTTGAGTCTCCTCATCCATTTTGAGACGCGCTTGAACGTGGTGGGTCTCCGAAACCGTAGCTCTTCGTGAATTCGATAATGCTTCGGTTCGGTGACAAGTCTGTTGTGAGCTTGATGACTGTTTGCCCCCGCTTTTTAGAAGGATGCATCATGTATCTTTTGCCGTTTGGCCGTCTTGCGACCGACACATTGTCATTTGTGAACTGGGCGATTTATGGCCTTTGCGTTCTGTCCTTGATGAGCCCATAGGTTTTAAGGCAGGAGGTTTATTTAGGTCGAAAACATGTGGGCCACATAATCATATTGACGTGGTGGATCCAGGGAAAGGAAGTCTCTGACGAGCTAATTCGCACTAACCCAGGAGAACCCACCATCTTAGAATATCTATGAACTTGTAATATGACGCCTAGGCCTTACAAAAGCAGATGTTACCTCCCTGAAATATTGATTTTTGATTTTGGAAATGAAAAAACGTACGTTTCTGATATTTGGTTATGAGTAAAATAATAAATTGGAACCACTATTGTGTCGGTCAATTGAGCGTATTCCAGGCGTTTGCATCTGAGTTTGCTTTTTATATTTACAGTGATGTTGAAAAAGTCAGATAATTGTGCTTGCCTCAGCTTGCGGCCGTTTCCCCGACTGCTGCAGTCGATTCGTTTTTATGACGTAAAATGATGCAGTAGTTCAGTGTAATTTGACACAACTCGTGAGACGGTCCAGTCTGCAGTGTGACAGACAGGTAGGGGGGGGGGGGGGGTGACTAGTTGATTCTGCGACACGAGGAGGGACGGGTCCTCAGGAACTACGGAGAAATACGGTGAATGCATCACATCTCTCCGCTCACTTCACACCCATCTCCATCCTCAGATGACGGAGGGTCTCAGTGACGTCACCTCGGCTGTTGATGACGTCAGGCGGCTGCTGGAACTGGGATTGGGCGGTGACGTCGAGCTGATTCTGTTGTCTGACATCATCAGTCAGTCGTCTGCCCTGACGCTGCTATCCGGCCAGCTGATCGAAACAGGTGAGGGAGGAAGGCCCTCTACTTCGTTGTGTAGTGCAGTTGCCGTTTTCCGATCGACAGCATAATGTGGGACCTTCCATTCCGACACGGTTCTTTTACGGTTCCCGGCTACGGTTCATGGTTCTTCCTTTCGACACGGTTCAGGCTTCATTTGTGGGCGTGATGGCGCGCAAATGAAGCCTGGCGACAGGATGTTATGTTCTGTCCATTGACCTGCGCTAGCTGCTGCAGCTTCTCCACCATCGGCTGCGTAGGGAAACGGCCCCCGGTGATCCCACAACAGGTGCCAGTTGTTCATAAGCAGAGTAGTTCCATAAGGTTGGTATGTCTAATATCTGACGTCATAGATCGTCACTTCTGAACCGGCGCGGATGTGGATGTGACGCCGCCTTGTCGACTGCAGCGGTTCTCATGCTGGAGCGGGGCCGCTGGAGCGCGCCCGGCGCTGCGCTGCTGCTGCCGCCGCTGCTGCGCGCCGTCTCCGTGCTGCCGGCGCTGTCGGACCAGCTGGAGCCGCAGCAGGGGCTGTTGGAGACGCCGCCGGCGGCCGGACCCGGCCCGCCGCCGGACGACGCGTACTGGAGAGCCGTGACCGACATTAGTCCGGAGCTGGCCGCCGCCACCCTGCTCGCCCACACGCTCCGGGACACGGAGGAGGTGCGTCTGGCGCGGCGGCCCAGACCCGCTGCCGGCCTCCCGCTGCCGCTAGGTGGCGTAGTCACGTGTGGAGCACAGACTGGCGCGCGCTTTAGAGTGCTGGCTGCTGATGTCTTCCGGGCGAAATGACCTTCCATTACAGTATCGCTATTTATGTTTATTGGTGATGTTGCGATGTAGTTTATGTGCAACCTATAGGTGTAACAATGCTACATTTTTCGACATTAAAGAGCATAGTGCGTGTCGCGCATTTTTTCAAAAAGTGGAATGGAGAGAGTCGAATGACAAATAGTCGGCGGGGATAAAAGTCGGACCGGAAAAATGATGACGGCAAAAGTCGACAGTGATAAAGGCCCGCACAGATAAAAGTTGAATCGGAAAAAGTCAAAGGATGAAATCCAAGAGTGATAAAAGTCAATGATGATACGAACTGATTTGGGAAAGTCAATGGACAAAAAAATCGGCAGGCATAAAAGTCATAAGGAAACGGAAAAGGACGAAATGGAAAAGATGAAAAGTCCAGAAGGCGAAAAGCTAGCAGGGATTGAACTCAAACCTAGACACACCTAACGCAACCACGTCAACAGATGGTTTGCTGATGACCCAATATCGGTTCAAAGATATAGCGTAACTGTGAGATTAAAGACCTCCGCGTGTTACAAGTAATATTTGTTAACAGTTTCCTTATCATAAAGGTCTCTACGCCCATCACCTACAAGCATGACCTGAGGCATGCGTGAAAGCACAGCGAAAGGTACAGAACAGATATGGATCGCATAGTTTCGAAAACAAACAACCATTAGGCATGGCTTAACCGTCACATGTGTGCCCTGCAAATAGAAATGTACCTTGTTCCGGCGCTCTCAGTCCCTTATTCGATTCCCAGTCTCATGTTCACCGTAACAAGTAGCACTGCCCAACTGCCTGCATCATGTATCACAAAACGCGGTTCTTGAGCGACACCTGCATTTAATGCTTTAGCTGGTTGAAGCCAAGCGCTTTCCGTTGATGCAACGGCCCGTGCTGATATTCTCCAGGTACCAATTGATCAATGGTCATGCTTTTTTAACCCTTAGCACGGTATGGCCATTAATGAAACAGAATTCGTGTTACGTCGGTGTGAGTTCATACATTTTGGATCACTCAAAATAGACGGCGCGAAATAGGCTGCACAAGTTTGAGGGCGCCTAGCCAAAAAGGGAGGATTACGAGCGGCACAACTGTGAACTGCAGGGAATGATCTTGAAAACGGCTATCGCAGTTCAAAGCCCCATACAAATGTGGAACATTCCCTCCGATGACGACAGTAAGACCTCGCGCGCGGGTCGCGCCACTGGTAAGCAGGATAGTCTGTGCAGACTGCACCTGCCTGGCGCCGCCCTGGCGCGGGGTCGAGGGTCATTGGGGGCAGACATATATAATGGCTCTGACTGGCCCCACCGTTAGGTGAGCGAGACCGACACTCTGAGTGCTCTTCTCGCGAGCCCGGCTGCAAGCCGCCATTTGTAGCCGCTGTTGTCTGCAACTGCGACGCGTCCGGAGATGTCGCTGCCTGCGTTGGGCACTGCTTTGAAAATAACTGGCTGACGGGTGTGTTACGGTATGAATTGCGATGTGTTTTAGTTCACACGATTTAGTTCAACGGCAGATAACTGCCAAATTGCAACAGCCAGCTTGTCCTGACGAACGAGCCAGTGATTGACAAGAATTGGGATATTCTGCTTTCCGAGTGAACCATTGGGAACCAGAGACCTGACTCCGGTGTCTGTGAGGAATTATTGTGAACCAGGGCCTGATCTCTGTGAATCAACTACTGGGGACCATGAGCTAGAGCATGGTGGTTGTGAAAGAGCTAGCGTAGGCCAGGAGCAAGGTTCCGATGTTCAGAAAAGGCACTGAAAACCAGGAACTAGGTTCTGGTGTTTGTGAAAAAACAGCGGGAACCGGGAGCCTATATATGTGATTGGAAAGGAGCAGGTAAACCGTTTACAAAAAAAACAGCGGTATCCAGGAACCAGAGATGGGGCTCCTGAAAGAACCGGCCGGGACTAGGTTCCGATCGTTCGTTTCCAGTAGCGAGAACTGGAAACTAGGTAGCGACGGTTTGGGAATCCAGCACGTGTCCGTCCATGGCTAGGATTAACGAAAAAACGCGATGTGTGACAGGTGACGCCGCTGTGCGCAGTCTCTGACGGTGGGTATCTCTATCGCTTGCGGCTGGACGCCCTGCACATTGTTCGGTCGGGAAGGTGCAAAGGCTGTCTGCCGCCGGAGTTGCTAGTCGGGTGAGCGTGGGGGGGGGGGGGGGGCGTCCAGATTAGAGGGCCAAGGGATGTGAGGTGACAAAATCCAGTGACTTTGCGGGCGCATCTGAGTGGGCCAGAACGTTCCCGTCCATGCCAAACATTAAATCCTGAAAAAGTACTCTAAGATTTGTGTTCTACCTATTTGTTTCCTGTTACTCAACCCGCTTTTATCCATGTCGGTTTTTTGTCCCCCAAATTTGTTTTCCAATCTGGCGCATCCCTGTCGACTTTTCGCCCGTCGACGTTTGGACTCTCGATATGTTCAGATGTGACTTTTATCCCTTGCGACCTTATTTCTTTTCGGCTTTTACCCCGGTCATTGTTGTGCCCTTTTAACTTTTTGCCCTTCAGTCTTTTTCCGATTGCGCTTTTTCCCTGTTGCCTTTTTTCCTTTCGACTATTTTCGTTCGAATTTGTTCGCTCAACTTTTTTCATGCCTTGTTTTTTATTCGACATGTCCAGGAACGGTGCACAACTACTGCTGCAAACTATGTTAAAGAACGGTGAACGAGCTGGATGTTAATTGTGATCAGGCGGTCGCTACCTCCTGACACCGGCTCACCCCTACTCCCACGTATTCCCCGCCGGCGGCCGGGGCGAGGCTGTTGTGTCTCCCACGCCCGGCTCGGCCGCCACCCCCCAGCCCCGTGCGGGGTCGTCCGGCACCCGGCGGCCGTCACAGCGTGCTGGCCGCCGGCAGGCTCAGCTGGCCTGGCTGCGACGCGCGGCGACGGCGGCCGGCCGCGCTCCGCCCGAGCCCGGCTGCCGACGCGCCGTGCTGGCGCTGCTGGTCAGCACCAGCTCCGCGGCGCCCGTGCGGCAGGCGGCGCTGGACGCCGCGCTGGCCGACGTTCGCGAGCGGCCGGCAGCGGCAGCCGACCTCCTATGCTGCGCCCTGTACCGACTGCGGCAGGAGAGGCAGCCGGAGCTGGCGCTGGCGCTCCTGCGCGCCCTGCCAGAGCTGGCCGTCAACAAGGTGGGCGGCGCGAGCTGCCCCGCCCCGACTGGGGCTGGGCAAGCCCTCCGTATCCGTGAGGCTTCCTAGCGAGCGACGTTGTGTACCGTTTCCCTCGGAGCCGGTGAGCAGCATTCACGAATCATTTGTGCGTTGTTGTCCTCGCATGTCGACACCGTCGGTGACCGTTGTGACCACGACCGTATCCTTGGAGTTTGCGAGGGTTTTTTTGAGCGGTCAGCAGCGACGGCAACAAGTGCGTAATCGGATGCTTAGCTGTGCTCTCTGACCGTCGGCTGCCGGGCAGACGCTGGTGCCGCGGATTGTGCGGCTGCTGACCGGCCTGGTGAGCGCGGGCGGGCTGCTGGCGCCCGAGGCGGTCCGGCTGCTGACCGCCCTCTGGCGCCGTGAAGCCCGCTGTCTGCCCTACCTGCTGGACGTGCTGCGTCTGGACGGCCCGCTGGCCGCGCAGCCCAGCCGGCTGCTGCTGGCACAGCTGGCCGCCATCGCCGACATCTGTCAGCATAAGTGGGTGTGCCACCACCCTCCTCTTTCAACGGGGGCTGGTCTGTCCCCGCAGGCTCCTGCCAGCACCGGAAGCCGCGGTAGTTAGGACAAACTTGTGATGGAATTAGAGCATGTATCCGTGTCATTGGTTGACCAAGAAGGCTTTTCACCTATTTTCACTTAACCTTTCACTTAAGGCTTTTCATTTTGGCGTTAATTCCGGAACTACAATACATACCGACTTAACGCCTCAGCGACGTTGGTCTCTTATCGCCAAACCCCAGCTCGAGGCGACTACATGGCTTCCGGTCTCCCGATTGGGGAGGGAGGAAGGAAGGAAGGGGGTGGGGAGTGTCATGATCACCAGATCATGTCACTTGTTGGGGCGTTATTGTCCCCAGTCCGTTGCTTCCCAGTCGCTGCCTTCAGATATTGTCGTCCGTATTCATTGTCTTCCGTTAGAGTAGGCGCTCCCTGGGACTGTGCTTCCCGACGGAACACTGTGCTACTCGGCCGGTACCTCCCGCCGGACTGCGGTGCTCCTCCCGCCCGACTGACCGCCCGTGTCCCGCAGCCCGTCCGCGGGCAAGGACCAGCTGTCCGTGCTCTCGCGCGTGCTCACCGAGCTGGGCGACGCGCCGAGCGCGGCCGCCTGCAGTCTGGCACTGACCGGCATCGCCGCCCTCTGCCGCGCCCAGCTGCTCGACGTGCGCACCACGTGGCGCATCCTGGCGCCCCAGCTGCGCCAGGAGCGGCGGCCGGCCGTGCTGGCGCGGTGAGCTGGCGCTCTGCAGGCCCGGTCTGGCGTGGTGGAACGGCCATGGGAATGGAGTGCAGAAATTTCTAGCTTTGGGCGCCGGCGTTCCATTTTAGCTCCATTTGAGCTCCGTCAGCTCCGTTAGCACGGCGGTGTGCACCTTTCATACACATAATTATCATTGCCTATTGTTCGTTTCGCAAGGTGTTAAGTATTTAGTTGTAAAATGACGCGCCGCTTTATGTGCTTTCTGGAACGAACTGTGGACGAGAGCAGGCCGCTGCTGCTGAGGACCAGCGGGCGCTTTTGTGGAGCTCTGGTGGGAGGTACGGGTGTGGCGACCCTGAGCACCGCGCCTCCGCCGCGCTGGCGTGGCAACCCTGATCACCGCGCCTCCGCCGCGCTGGTGTGGTGACCCTGAGCACCGCGCCTCCGCCGCGCTGGTGTGGTGATCCTGTGCACCGCGCCTCCGCCGCGCTGGTGTGGTGACCCTGAGCACCGCGCCTCCTCCGTGCTGGGTGCGCGAGGGAAGTCGGCCGGCTCACGCCGAGCGTCTTGTGAAGGCCGCCCCTGCTCCCCGCAGCTACATGGAGTTCCTGGGCCTGGTGCCGCAGCTGCACGTGCCCAGCGAGGAGTACGAGGTGTTCACGCGCCAGGTGGCCGCCGTGCTGTGGCAACGAGTGGCGCAGCCACGGCCCGAGTCGGTGGCACGTGCCGCCCTCCGGTGAGTCGCCATGCGACGGGGCCTTGGCCGCCAGCGCGGCGTGGCGGACATGCGGGAAGCCCTTCAGCCCATTTATGGGCAGCCATTTTAGCGGTTTTGGTCGCAAAAACAGTGATGTGTTCCTTAGTCGATGACGTTATTAGGTGAGGCGTGATGAAAAGTTCCGTGGCTTTCGAGCGTCGTTCCTGTCGCGGCACGGTTGGCTATGGCCGTCTCGTTGTCACTGTGTACGGGCTCCGCTTTCCGGCCAGTCCGTGGGGTCGGAACCGCAGCCGCCGCGCGCCGATCTACCCTCACGCTGCTTCGTTCGCTCCAGCGCGCTGGCCGAGTTCAAGCCGGGCACCTTCCAGCTGAAGATGCTGCCGGCCGCCGCCAGGCAGGGCCTGGTCGTGCCGGCGAAGCTGATCGCGACGCCGGCAGACGCCGCTAAGAGGCCGGAGGACCTGCTGAACTACGTGCCTGGTACGTGTCGCGCGGCCAGGACGTCGCTGCTGCGCTCACCACCGCCGCACGACATGGGGTTGCACGGTACTCGCCGCTTGCCCTTCACCTGTCGCGTCGCTGACTAGATATGATCCGTGTGTTGACGCTGCGCCAGTGGGTGATCGGAGGGGAGGCCCGCTCGCTCCCGCTCGCTCCCGCTCGGGCTGACGGGCTGCGCCGCTCCAGGCGAGTGCTTCACGCTGCTGCTGTCCGTCCTGCCGCCGCGCCTGCTGTCTGAGTACGGGCTAACGTTGACCGCCCTGGTCCGCCGCGAGGTGCAGCTGATCGGCCGAGGCGTCTACTTCACCGCGAAGGAGGTAAGTGGGCTGGCAGCCCCGGCTCCGGCCGCGAGGTCGGCGGCTCTGGCCCCGGCTCCGGCGCGTGTTAGCCCTATTGTTCGAGGCGTGATCTGACCCAGGTGTTTGTTCGCTGGCGCCGTTTTATCCCTCTACTTTTTCTAATTTAACGGTCGGTGTTAACACTAACAGAGCGATTGGTGTGCCCACGTTCGTTCAGTATATACTCAGCTGGTGATGTGTGGATCTGAGGCCGATGCGTGGTAGTATGTATGGCCAGGCGCGTTGACCTGACCGGACTGGGCCGGGCCGTTCGCCAGCGTTCGCGCCGAGAGGGCGGCGAGCCTGCTTCCCTCTCCTACCTGGAGCCATCGAGCATCCTGCGCGCGCTGGTGGTTCGTCTCCAGCAGACAGCAGGTGCGTCCCCCGACCGGAGCAGCCGAGCGTCTCGTAGTGCGCCGGGGCGCGTTCTCTTGCTCAGCGGCTGAGATATGTTTGTCAACATGATCCCGCAGTGATGTCATGTGATAGTCCCGCAGGAACGATAAGAACATGCTCCCGCGGTGATATCATGTGATAGTCCCGCAGTAACGATAAGAACATGCTCCCGCAGTGATATCTGTGATAGTCCCGCAGTAACGATAAGAACATGCTCCCGCAGTGCTACCACCACATGTTTTCGGAAGTTACGTATTTGGAAATAGCCAGGGTTTCACACTGTATCGAATTTGCACTTTTCTTGCATATTTAAGTGTGGTTCATAGGCGACGTAATGTCTCCGGCTCGTGCGCGCGCTTCTGCTGGGACTCACCGAGCACTGCGCGCGGATTTTTGGTGCCCGTATACATGCGTGACGGAACCCTCCGCGTTGGAATACGGCTGAACAGAGCGGTAGTGGCGCAGGCTGATCGGGAAACGGGCTGGTGGGCGCGTGACGCCAATTTACAGAGCTAACGCTGCTGCCTTCCCACAGACTCTGGCGCGCTGGCGGCGGGGAAGCGCACGGTGGCGGAGACGGCCGCCTGCCTGCAGCCGCTGGCCGCCGACCTGGGGCAGGCGCCGCCGCCGCTCTCGCTGGGCCCGCTGCTGGAGGGCCTGCTGCCGCTCGGTACGGCGCGATGTTGGCAGCCGGCCGTTCGGGCGAGCCTGGCCGACGAGCCTGGCGGCGGGACCGGCGGACCGGCCAGCGGATCACCCCCGGACCGGCCGAACGGGCGGCGGCCGGCCGGGCAGCCCGGCAGCCCGCCACCCGCTCGTGCGGCGGCGGTGTTGGTCCGGTGTTGCTATTCGACCTTGTCCCGGTTTCCCTCCTTTGTGGGCTGGTTTTTGTCAGTGTTCTGTCTACGTGTCCTACCCTCGCGTCTCCATTGCCTTTCCATTCCCCCTACGTGTGCTGTTCACACGCAGGGAGAACGTGTGACAGCACATGCTGTGCTGTCACTTATTCTTTCCGTTGTCTGTCCCCGCGTCGCCGCAGTATGTCTGCCATGTTTGGCGTTAGCGTGATTTTCGCGTCGTCCCCGTTTGCCGGGCTGCTCTCGTGTTCCGGCTGTTTGTGTCTCCCATGTCTGCCTACGGCTTGTGTGGTGTCGCTGCCGGACGTCAGTGACGGCGGCGGCTCCAGCCTCGCTGATGCGGTTCGTCGCGCCCGCAGCCGGCGAGGTGGCGGAGCTGTGCGTCAAGGCCCTGGCTCGGCACTGCTGCAGCCACGGCTCGGCGGCGGCGCTGCTGAAGCGCCTGATGGCCGTCCCGCCGCCCGACGACGCCTCGGTCAGTCACCCCCCGCTGCCCGGACTGGGCGCGGCCACCTCTGCTGGTGTTCCAGCTGCGCCCCGTGGCGGCCGGAGTGTCACGCAGGCAGCGCCTCAGCTGTGTCCTTATGAAACGTCGGGTAGCTGATTGGAAGCCCCATGCCGTCCCCGTCCCCCCCATCCCCCCCCCCCCCCCCCCCAGCAAGGTGTCTGGTGCTTCGCGTAAGCGTCTCGCAGTGACTGATACCGCATTGACATTCTGCGCTCACTAAGTTTCAAAACGGTCCACCCTCCATCTGAAATCACATGTCCACATCACGATACACATCATCACGTATCACATCACGATTCACATAATCACATATCAAACCATGATTCACATCATCACACATCACATCATATGATTCACATCGTCACACGCCACATCAAGATTTTCGCAGCATTTGGTATTCTGTGCCAGCTCTTGCAAAACTTAAAATGCACTGCCTCGCGTGAACCCCACGCTGGCTGCAACTAGGTGACCGGGCCTTCATCCGGATCCCGGGGGGGGGGGGGGGGGGGGGGGCTCCGGCAAACCATTCGCCGCCTGATTGGGAGCTCATGTCTTCGTCTGCATAACGTCCAAGGCTCCATTTGGATATCGTGCTGGCTGGTGCAAATCATCCGGACTTCGCATGACTCCGTTGGGTGTGAGCTATAGACGACCCATGGCGCCCAGTTGAGTGTCCTAGCGATGCACCCTACGTCTCGACGCACGGGTCATCTCGTGTGAGGTGGACTCGTGAAACTCGGGGTGACCGGTGACGGTGGTATGTTTGTGGCTGCGAAGTCGTAAGTTCAAACGGTACGACAGCGGGCGTTTTGGCCTCTGCGTCGCCGTGCCATTGCCCAGTGGCGACGCTAGCGACCGTTACATGCGTCGTTCAGAAATCGCTTGTGGCGTGCAACGAGGCGTTAATTTGAGTGGCAACGCCATGGCATCCAAGTGGTTCACTCAGTAAGCTGTCCTCATGTTATCAGCTGTATGTCATGATCATGTCAAGGTCACCGGCGCAAAGGTTGTCAGCCTGGATTCTCGCCAGCATTGCGTTCGGCTTTGTTGTTTTATTCGTGGCAGCCTACACACACAAACACATACACCTACAGCTGCTGTCTATTTTGCTGCGTGTAACGTGACAAAAACTTGACTGCAGCTCCCTTCTTTCAGCCGGAGGTGCTAAACACACTGTTTGACCACCTGGGCGTGATTGGTCGCGGCCTGCCGCCTCCAGTCATGCTGCCCTTCATTCAGCACCATCTGTCGGCCGCGCTTGAGACTACCACTTCGGCGCGCCGTGCGCTGGCTGCCATACGGGCGGCGCTAAGGGACGAAAGGCTGCACGAAGCTAACCGGACCACCATAGGCAACGTCATCGAGACATTGCTTGAGGAAGTCAGCCCGGACCAGGTGAATCATTGCTTGGGGAAGTCAGCCCGGACCAGGTGAATCATTGCTTGAGGAAGTCAGCCCGGACCAGGTGAATCATTGCTTGGGGAAGTCAGCCCAGACCAGGTGGATGTCTTTAGTGCCGCCAATATCGCTCGCGCTTCTCCACCACCGCTGTCTGGTGTTTAAATCTGTTATCTCTACGTATATTCAGCTCGCTGTTTTGCTCCGGTAGTAGAGCTAGAGCAATGTACAGTGTACCATGCACTCATGGTGACAAGCGTCGTTCATGATTGTATGTCTGACCTGTCTACTATTTTATCACCTTATAGCAATGACGTTCGGGCACGTGGCCAATGAGAGGACCGAAGGGACAGTGCCATCCCCTTACCCCCGAACCATGGGACTTACGCCAGATACCGAACGGTATCACAAGACTTTTGGTCCGAGTTCGCAGAAGTTGCGAAAACAAAAATTGGCTCTTGCGACCCCTTCTGGCAAAAGTGTTGGCTACCTCCCTGATTATTTCAATGTTGAAATCGCCTGCTAAAACCATGCCATTGTGGCAGGACATTGCAGTATCCTATAAAATGTTGCACTGACAAATATTTCTCTAGAATAGTGCTGTTGCTGATCACGTGCAGTTGCAGCAGTTCTCAATAGGTGTATAGGCACGCACTGGGTACATTACATACAACGTGCGTCATGGTCGTTAATTTACGTCCAGGATGGATCGGAAGCTCGAGTCGTTTTGTCGTGATTTGACGAGTGATCGGTGCGCTCAAGAATCCTAATACATGTTTTGGTTTGTTCTGCAGACTGAGATATTCGCCGCCTTTTTGGATTGCATCTCAGAATTGCCCACCTCTAACCTGGAGCGCCTCAGCTCTCCGTCGCTCTGGTGGACGGTGGAGAAGGCCAAGCTTGTCGTGGCGGCCGAGGTGCGGAGCCACATGTCTTCCCTGGGCGACGGTGACCGGCCCATGGTGTGGATGAACGAAATCATCGACGTGGCGGGCAGCACTGGGTGAGTGCAATTGCGGCCGCGGACGGCACTGGATGAGTGAAATTGCGGCTGGGGGCGGCACTGGATGAGTGAAGTCTGTAGATGAGTCTGTGGACTGGAGCAAGTGTAGCTGGCTGTAGCTGGGGCGCTCATCTCTGCCATTACGCTGATAGCTATTTATGCCTCCGTGTATCGCTGGGCGCCTTGTGCAAATCAATCGTGGAATCCAAAGAGAGGAATGTTTAACGATTCACTGACCAATCTGATACAAAATCTGTAGATAAACCCCATTTATCTTCCCACTTTTCATTGTCACCACTTTGGCAAGGGGTTGTTCACGTTGGCCCATCTTCGACCAGCCAACGCCGCACGGCTGCAGACGTAACGTGTCTGCCGTGTCGACGGACTGGGACCGGCCGTGTGTCGACGGATTGGGACCGGCCGTGTGTGATGACGTGTCTACCGTGTCAACGGACTGGGACCCACCGTGTGTGACGACGTGTCTGCCGTATCCACAGACTGGGGCCAGGCGTGTGTGATGACGTGTCTGCCGTATCCACAGACTGGGGCCAGTCGCGTGTGATGGTGTGTCTGCCGTATCGACAGACGGGCCAGGTGTGCGTGATGACGTGTCTGCCGTATGGACAGACTGGGACCGGCCGTGCGTGATGACGTGTCTGCCGTGTCGACAGGCTGGGACCGGCCGTGTGTGATGACGTGTCTGCCGTGTGTGATGACGTGTCTGCTGTATCGACAGACTAGGACCGGCCATGTGTGCTGACGTGTCTGCCGTGTGTGATGGCGTGTCTGCCGTATCGACAGACTGGGACCAGCCGTGCACGGCGCCGTGTGCCGCGCCCTGGCCGCCGTCAGCGGCCATGCCTCCAACCCCGACTGGCTGGTCGAGCTGATGGGCCAAATGCGCGCCGTTCAAACCGGCAAGGCGATGTCGGACGCGCCGGCCGACCAGGTCTGTCGCCGGAGCTGTGGATGGCGCCCCGCGCCACGTGCCGGTCCTCGGCCGCCGTCCGCGCGGCAAGTCTGGATGTCCGCCAGGACGAGTGGATCTCGTCATGCTGACGGCGTTGATGCCCGGTCTCAGACACCGCTTTCGCACCGCTTGGCACATTTGTTTGTCGTGGGTGAATGTCGTATTGTGGTGTTTGTTTCGCCTTCCATTGCTGGCATCGAGGTTTGCCCTGGTCCTCAGCGAGCCTGGCTGGCGCCCGCGCAGGTTAGTGCTGTGCTGGCTCGGTCGTGACGCTGACCCCGGGTCGCGCCGCCAGGTGCTGGCCTGGCTGGCGGACGTGCTGGTGAGCGCACTGCTGCTGTGGTCGCCGCTGGCGCTGGTCGCTGGTCCGGTGCCGCCGGCCGACGCCCGGGCGCAGTGGGACCGACTGCTGCCGGCTGCAGCGCGGCTGCTGCTGGAGCTGCCGCCGTGGAAGCCTCTGCGAGCGCAGGTCGGCGGCCAGTCTCATCTGCCGCGAACCGGCTGTACCCGGCAGCTGCGCTCGTGCTGTCGAGCCGGCAGTACCCACGCCTGGAGGTCGAGAGGCGTGGCAGATGTGTGTGGTCTGGCGCGGGCTCGGTGTCGTAGCGAGGGCTGTTAGTCGTGGGCAGTTGCGTCGGTCTCGAACCACGCCATGGGAGGTTCGCGATCGCGAACCATATCGCGAGGCTCAGTATGAACGTCAAAATATGTTGCTTTTTCT